ATTTGTCCTTTTGTGATTGACTTATTTCACTCAGCATAATGTCCTCCAGTTTCATCCATGTTATGAGATGCTTCACAGATTCATCATTGTTCTTTATCGTTGAGTAGTATTCCATTGTGTGTATGTACCATAGTTTGTTTATCCATTCACCTGTTGATGGGCAATGGGTTTTTCTCTTAATATATAAAAGAAACAATAACACGTGAAGAATGTGCTTCTTAGATCAGTCAAGTATACAAGACCAAATGAGCAAAAGCTGCCTGAAAGCAAAGATGAAAAGGCAGGAAGGGACAGGAAAACTGGACAAATGGAAATGGGAAACCCAGGGTGGGACACGGGAGAGTGCTGATAATTGTGGGGATTTGCAATCAATGTCACAAAATAATTTATGTATAAATTTCTGAACGAGAAACTAACTTGCTCTGTAAACTTGCACCTAAAGCATGATAAAGTAAAAAGAAAACAACTGAATGAGGGTCAAATGAAAAGCAGCACAAACTGAAGGCTACTGAAAGCTAAAAGCTTACACAAACAAACCTAATATTTAAATGTGAAGAAAGTAAAGCCTAATGAATAAAATGGTCACACACGTAGCTGAATATTAGGACCAGCATTAGAACTTAGTTCAGCGCTTTCTAGGACAAACTCATTATACAATGTTAGAAGCCAGGAAAGTATAAATAAAATAAAGATTATGTATAATCCTGCAACCCACCCACCCCACCATAGATGGCCACTATTAGCATTTAGGCAAATACCCTTTGCAACCCTAATAAATCCAGTTAAGTCCTAAAAAAACAGAAGCTAAATAAATACCCCATTCAGTCTGCTTCTCTCTCCTCAGTATATGCTCTGAAAAGTTTTCAGTGACTGAATTATTTCTTCAGGGTTTTAACAAGGAACAAGCTTGACAAGAGTATTTAAAGAAAACATTACTACTTTTCACTCACCAGGAAAACCAGGAACTTCCAAAACTTGCAAACAGCCCAAATCCAATCTCCATCTGTGGCAGGAAGACTCTCATCCAAGCAAGTCAAGCTCCCCTGTCCCACAGCTTTCATTATTGAGCCTTCTTCATATGCCAGGCATTCTACACTTGATATTCCCAAATACTGAGAAAGGAACCATTACTGACCCAGTTTTACAGATGAAGAGCTGATTAAAGTCAAGTTAATGTGCTCAGACACGTAACTAGCAAATAATAGAGCCCAGAATTCAAAATCAAGACTATCAGATTCCAAATCCCATCCATACTCTTATACTGGCTACCAAACCCTGTTAAATTCGTTCCTACTTCTACACCTTGGGAGCCCTGGTGGCACAGTGGTTAAGAGCTACGGCTGCTAACCAAAAGGCTGGCAGTTCAAATCCGCCAGCCACTCCTTGGAAACACTATAGGGCAGTTCTACTCTGTCCTATAGGGTCGCTATGAGTCGGAATCGACTCAACAGCAACAGGTTTTGTTTTTTGGTTCTATACCTTCCCTCAGACTGTTCAAATTCTTTCCCTCATTTACTCAAGTCCCACTTCTGCCTTTCCTCGTCACTCTAGCCCCCACTGAAGTACTCCTGAGAATCTGGTATTTTAAATCTGTACTACATAACCTTGTTCATAATTGTACTCTCTTGTATTTATTGTCGCTTTATGTTACTCATTTCCAACTAGAGTGGTTACATTTCTAGACAGCAAGAATCATTAGCTTCTTCTGTAATCTACACTACACCAAATCAATGCTGCTAAAACCAGAAATAAACACTTATTCTTGATAAAAGATTATTTTTCCTCCATTCCAAATTTTAGGTTCACATCACAGGATGTCAATTCAAATCAAGTTAAGGCTCCTCTATTCTAACCTTAAAATCCTAGGAACAATATCCTTATTCAGCAATAGAATAGTATTGTTCTCCCTATCCTGGGTAATAGATACTACTGACCAAATATTTATGAGCATTCTGATAGAATATTATGAATATCTGCGACTGGCACAGATCCTTAAAAGGTACAGTTTCATGTTTGTAACTTACGTAGAACTGCTCTCGGAATATTAAGACAGCTGCTGCTCTACAAAATTAACTTTCTTAAACAATATAAGAAAATGAACTTTTCAGAGAACCCACAATAGTATTTAGACTATCACATAAAAGCTGCAGGCAAAACTGCCATGGAAATGGGTGCTACATTAATCAGAGTATCCTCCGATTACTGCCTTAGCCCTGACCTTCAAACTACCAAAAGGAGGTGGTACCAAACAGACCAAACAATTCATACTTTTAAGATGTGCAATTCCTAAAACACAGCAATTTCTAAATCAATAAACTTCACACATTAAAATAAAAGCTACACAGTTGTTCGACCCTAGAGGCAAATTTCTATAGTTCGTTTTACTGTTGCAATACAGAATCCATTATCTCATTAACAAAAAAAGAAAAACAATAGCAATCTAAGCAAATACTTACTTAGTATTTACTAAATGCCAGGCATTATTCTAAGCAGTTATGTATTTTTAACTCATTATAAGCCTCATGAGCACCAATAAGGATCAAGAAATCACTTAAGTTCCTGGTATAAATTAATCCTTAAATTTTTAGAAAGTATTCTGGCAATATATACTGAACTTTTAAGTACATATATATACCCTTTGACTTAGCATTTGCACTTCTGGAAATCTATCCAATAAAAATGGAAACCCTGGTAGCGTAGTTGTTAAGAGGTTGGCTGCTAACCAAAAGGTCAGCAGGGCAAATCCACCAGCGGCTCCTTCGAAACCCTACGGGGCAGTTCTACTCCATCCTATAGGGTCACTATGAGTTGGAATCAACTTGATGGCAATGGGTTTGTATGGGTTTTTAATCCAACAAAAATAAAAGTATCACTGTAAACTTTCACCTAAAACACAATAAAATACAAAAATTTTACAGAAAAAAATGAAAGTAACATATAAATATACAAGACTTACTTGTTGAAGCACTGTTTGTAACAGCAAAAAATTAGAGTGAAGAAATGTTAGTCATAATATGAAATAATTATATATTTAAAAATATGATAGATTCATATTTATTGACTGAAAGATGTCTAAAATATAGTAAGTGAAAAAAGAAGTTACAAGCTACATTTGCAGAAATCAAGAAAAAAGTATGGAAGGAAACACAGCGAACAGTGGTTAACAGGAGGGAGAAGAAGCTTAGTTTTACTTTAGCACTGGTGTTTTTATTGTTAAAGCAAACAAATACTGTTAAGTTAGTTAATTTTTTAACTTAAAAGCTAGGAAACCCAATTTGGAGCCTGACAAGAATTTCCTGTAGATTACTTCTACCAGTTTGTATACAAGATTGTATTTTTGTGCTTAAATGATTCTAAGAAACAATTATAACTTCTGCACTTAAGACAAATGAGAGCCAGTGGTGTAAGCAGTATGAAGCTTTGGTTAGCAAATCTACTTTTCTTTTCTTTGAATCCAAAAGATCTAAGTCATCCTGCTTCTCTACTTAGTGTTACAATGTGTAATACAGACATTCACTTCACAGAAGAATACTTTTCTTGCACAAATAAGATGGCAGTCGTTGTTAGCTGCCATCTAGTTGCCCTCACCCCATCCCACTCATGGCTAACCCATACACAACAGAAGGAACCCAGTTGTGATCCACAGGGTTTTCACTGGTTGACTTTTAGAAGTAGATCACTAGGCCTTTCTTCCTACTCCATTTGTGTGGCAGTTCCGCGAAACCTGTCCATATCATAGCAACTTGCAAGCCTCCACTGATAGACAGGTGGTGGCTGTGCATGAGTTGCACTGGCTGAGAATCGAACCTGCATGGAACACAAGAATCCTACCACTGAAGCACCACGGCCCCCATGCATAAATAAGGTACCAGATGTTAATCAGCCAGTTAACCATAAATTACACATATTTTCAGCTTTTGCTATTCTCATGGGTAAAGTTGTATTAATAGGTTTCAGCTCTTCAAATTCCTAATATGTTATTACCATCCAAACCCATGGGAATGATAATGTACACAAGTCATCCACAAAAACCATTTTCATAAGTAACTCATTTTTAGCATATAAACTGTTAGTTTGGAAATTACGGCCCAATTAAGTTCTATAATATGTGGCAGTCCAATAACATTTTTATTGCAAAGAAACTTTAAGGTTGTGCCCTTTCTACTGCAATAATCCGACTAAATATAAAAACAAGTTTTTCATCTTAGTCCAAAGCCTATGGTCAAAAAATGCCAACATGAACACACATAATTAAAAAAAAAAAAAAAAACCCTAAGATTTATCTCAAAGTCACCCACTTTTCTCTATCTTCCCATGCTACCAACACTAGTACAGACCAACATCTCCCACATGAACTACTACAACAGCCTCCTAAATATCTCCTCTGCTTCTTCTCTTGCTCTTCTCAAATAAATCTAGTTTCCACACAAAAGGCACCATTATTTCTACAAATATAACTTGGATCACTTCCCATTGCACCTAGATAAAAATCCTTAACATGATCTACAAGGTCCTGCATAATCTTATCCACACTGCCTAATTCCTCTCTAGACTCATCTCACACCAGTTTCTCAAGTGGCTCAAGAGGTAGCTATGATCCTCTCAGTGCGTCAAGTGTGCCCAGTTTTTTGCCTCAGGTCTTCTCACCTGCTGTCCCTTCTGCCTGGATAGCTCTTTCTCAAACCCAGCACCACCTCCATGGTAATCTACTACCCATCCTTAGTCTCAGCTTAAATGTCGCTTCTTAAAGAACACTTTCCATCTCCATTCCACATCCAATTTAAATTAGGTCCCCCGTTACACGCTCATCATATTCTGTACTTTTCCATCTTGGCCCTTACCATAGTAATTATATATTTTTCCTTAACACCTGGCTTTTTCCACTTGCTAGGACCATGATGGCAGGATGTTGTTTATCTGCTCACCAGTGTATCTCCAGTGCCTAGAACAAGGGCTGGCATATTGGAGGCTCTCAACATTCGCTAAATGAAGAGACTCTAAAATTGGCAGAAAGGCAAAGTTCCTCCTGCGACACCCAACACAATTTGAAACAAGGTATTTACTTCCTCAACAGCCAACCATCTAGAATCTGCGTCTCATTTCTACTCTCACATTAAAACAAATCTAAGTCATACAGTCTTCGTGTACAATGCAGATCCATTCTTTCACAGCCACTACAAAAATCAATCTTTCTGCTCTCACTTTCTACTTAGCCAGAGTCTCCAACACAGAAATCTAAGCTAATCAAAATCATAGTTGAGAAATTACTTGAATTATGGCCTTCCTATAAATTCCTGGGGAATAGAAAGGAAAATATAGGAAAAACATTTAGAGAAAATTATTTAAAGTTTTCTTTTTATCATAATTACCTGGCCACCCAGCACTAAGTCTTTGAGGCAAATTTAATTGCAATCTGGGCAGATTAAATTCTTTTTGTCCTGAAACAACTTACAGTTCCAAATTATGGAACTCATGGCAAAACTACTGTTGTAACTGCTGTTAAGTCTAAAGAAAAAAAAAACGGGAGCATAAGATAACAATCTAAAAGACAGGATCTTTCCAATACTTGGGATTCTCTTCCTATGTTCCCCTTGGAGCTAATATATTTTCATTTCTAGGCAGGAAAAGACCAAGCAGCCTAACTCAGTGCACTAACCTTTTTTTTTTAATTCCCTGGAGAATACCTTTACAAATGAACGAAACTAGAACCCAGAAAGACAGTATTAAATAGGAAACTAACCCTGCTTCAAACAACCCCTTCCCAGTCAACTGCAAAAAAAAAAAGGTAACCTAACTTTTAGTTTAATTCTGTGTTGGGGAAAAGGAAAATGCTAGTCACTTGATACCAATTCAAAGCAAGAAAAAACAGCACAGAAAAGATGAACTTTGCAGCAATATTTTTGTGCTTTTTCTTCTCTCCTGGTTGTAAAACACGCACAAAAGGGACAAAAGTTTAGAGTGGGAGGAAAGAGCTGGCCACTTAGCTTGTGTTACGATCTCCACAAACCATCCAGGTAAACATAACCATTTGCTCTCTAAACTCATTTTACAATTTAATCCATTCTTCAAAATTTTAACAATTCACAGGCACTTATATCTGACTTTAGAAGAAAATTTGATCAATAAATCAATTAGAGTTAAAAGGTTTTATTGGGCAGGGGAAAAAAACTGTTCTAGAACATTACAATTTTGATCAGCTCATATACAGTACAAACTAATGGATTTCCCAAAAGGGAAATTTAAAATGATTGTCATTCACTTAATTGGCACGAGGCAGCTTAGATTCGTTTATTAAGTTTTCTTGTCTACATTCTATAAGCTAATTATGACTGTTGTAATCACTTCAACTTTTCCCAGAACTGTCTTGAACCCACTAAGGTTAAAGAAACTGTTCATGGTGCCCAGAGGTCTGTTCAGATGTTGCATCATAGGATTTTGGGTACCTGCTACCAACTCCACATCTCCTCAATAAATCACTAGTTCTATCCTTCATCACGTCCTAATTATTCTATTTGAGGCTTATTTTTAATTCTTCCTCTCCCAGATAAAGCTTTGGAAACCAGGTTACACTTACACCAAATGACAAGTAGACAATTCAAGCGTGGTTTTATGGTTGCTCAAGTTTTGCAAATTTGTTTGGATTCTATTACGCATATAAAATATGTTAAATAACCATCACTGAGGCCTTCCTAATATAAAATAACATTACTTGCAAATTCTAATTATGTTAACAATTCTTCCATCCAACATTCTTCCCCATGGTAGTTTCTTTCTGCTTTGAAAAAGCACTAGTTGTCTCCTTTTCTAGTTTATAAAAAGTGAGAAATACAGAAAACCATCTTCCTTCCTAAAACACTTTTTCTTGAGACACAAAGAATTCTGTGATTTACTAATACATTTTCTTAATTTTTCAATTGATGTTTACAATACAAGAGGTATTTTTAAGTTCAACAATCATGACTGCATTGATTTACAGAATTATACTTGAGATGCTAAGTGTATTTTACCTGAAAAGGAGGTTAAATTCTCAATTATTATACTATAAAGCCAAAATAAATTTGTAGACAGTTCTATGATGCTTATAAAGCTTCATTACTTAACTACTATTTCAAAAAGTTCCAGAGAAAATAATCAAGGAGCCCACACAGCACCTAATAAGCATTAATCCACAGATTTACACCCAAGAGTAAAGCTAATTATCATTATTCTTGAGCTTGTAAAGACCACTCCAAAGAGTAAAAGCACTATAGTCAGAAGTTAGTCTGGTGTTAAGCTTACCCAAACTAGGTACAATAAGTTTTCAGCAACTCTAAACCCAGAACTAGTCATTTTTAGACTCTAAAAGAGCTTAGGAGACCAAGCACTACCAGAAAATTGACTACTTTCAAGAATCCTCTCCCCTTCCCTTTTCTCAATCGACATGCCATCTCTTTCCAGCTGTGACTCCAGTAACGGAAAATGTCTTTTACTCCTCGCTTTTCTAGGATGCCCTCAGTTAAGTATTTAACCTAACTTCTTAAGTGTGCAATACACTTACGTGGAAATACAAATTAAAATACTCACTGTTAGAAACTATAAACGATGGGGGGAACGAGGACTGACTGCTAATGGACATGAGTTTTCTTCTCCGGGAGATGAAAATGTTCGATTGTAGTGATGGCTGCACGATTTTGTGAATATATTAAAAACCACTAAATTGTACACTTTAAACGGATGAATTGTATCTCAATAAAATTTATGAATCAGTGATATCTGGAAGGGAATTTCAAACAACTACAATGTTGAGTTCTGGGA